TGACATCTTTGACGTATGATTTTACCTAGAATGTGTGGATAAGGAATGGTGGATTTTCTTTTAAGGTCATTTGTTTTACAGGTCGTTTTCTATACTTCTAAGATGATAAGGAGGATTCTATCACATTGAAACCAATTTTGTAGAATAAACCAAGAAGACGAAGTAAAATTGATTTTCAGTTTTATTAGCTCACGACATAATTAAATATCTTGAATAAAGACCACTGTTACCCAATTAGTTATTTTGACAGACCACTGTTACCCACTGTTTGACATAACATATAAAAGTAACAAAATTGAGGAACTAACTGATTGATAATATTTTTCTCGATAAAACCTACTTTATAAGTCAAGTTACATATGGCTCAAAGTTAGAGAACATTTTTTAAGAACATTCGGTTAGTAATGTGGTTTTAAAACAAACGCAGTTCATATATTTAGTTACATTACTTTTGTAACATTGGCGAATTTCTAGAATTTAACCGATATTTTGATCAGTTTTGACGTGGACTAATGTCGATGTGGTGGACTAAATGTATGAATTGCGGCTTCATTGAAAACCAAACTCTAAACTGCGTAACAATTCTGAAACTAGAATAGACTCAAAACTAGAGCCAGATTATAATCTGCAACTTGATTTATATAAAGTAGCTTTAAATTGAGGAAACGAAAAACTCTTACCGAACTCTGAACACAGAGAGTTCCTCTATTTTGCTACTTTACGTCAAAGAAACTAGTTGGGGAATAGTAGGAGATAAGGCACAAAAATGTAACGATCTTTATAATGATAAGAATTTCTATTATGACGTGAGCTTATTTACTTTGCCTTTCTTGGATGATGTTTCTGTGCGTGATTAAAAGCTTACAGGTAATCCGCATCAAGTACTGAACAATGCATATGGAATACATGTGTGTCTAAATGCATCTAGACTCCTCGATGTTCCTAACACCATCTGAGAGTGCCTGATGTCATGTTTCTAGAAAAATAAGTCACCCCCTACAGCCAAACCCAAAATATATGGTACCAAGTGTAATATATCATTGGTGAGTTCATCCAAAGATTGACATATACTTGTATACCAGTCAATCAACCTCACAATTTGCTACACTGAGTTGACCATGGAACTAGAAGCATGGCAATTAGGCGTTATTCGCAGGATTTTAAAACTCATGCATCGGAAAAGTCAAAGAAACTCAAGATGAAAACATATTAAGCATATTGCAGTGAATGCAACCAATTCGTGGAATTTGTGGTTCACTTCTGATGTGCAGAGTATAGAGGGGGACAGAAATTGAAGTGGTGAAGATATTTTGTTAGAAGTGAAATGAAAACGAGATTAACTGCTGCAGGAAGGCATGCTAACTGTTAAAGACATCATGAAAATCTAAGTAAATTCCATCCAAAATACTTGAGAGTTGGTGAATCAATGTAACTTTGGATGATCTTTTAAAGGATATATCACAAAAGGTGCCATGTATTAAGGGTTTAGCTAAAGCAAGGGGTGGGATGTATTTGACACCCTTTATAAAGCACCTTAAATGCCACCTCCACAGTATCCTAACAAGACAATATAGAGACCTATATTTTAGTGCACAACGTCAGAGAATCAATCACAATCAATCTTGCCCTATCATGATGGTAACATCGACATTGATTTTCAACAGAGTGGACGTTTTCTTAATATCTGAACGTCTTTGGGATTCCTGTATTAAAGGCAACATCCCCAAAGTCAAATATTAGAACGAATAATTGGCCTGTATTTATATCAGGTCAGGTTCATTAGGTTCTTAGATGCGTGTTGCATCGTAAATAGTAATTGTATGTTATTCAATCAATCAAATTGATTTGAATAAATGTTTTAAGTAGAGAACTTGACTCTGAAATTAATAATATATCTTGCGTTTAGAATAGGATGACACACGTCACAGAACTTGTAGGAGGCGGCCGGGTTTCGTATCAAGTGAACCGTAACTGTAAAATGTGAGTTAATTCATGATAGACGTGATCATATTAGAAAACAGTTGATGTAACAAAAACGACATATCAAGTTCACTGAAAATATAGGTTTTGGTGGGAAGTCCCAATAATCGATTACATTTTCTAGTAATGAAACTCGAATGAATGGGATCCAGCCCAGTCTTTTTATGTTAAGAGCTAAGTTTGAGGTATGATTCACCATGTTCTTTCATAACAAACATATAATAGTAAAAATATAACATCTATATAAAATATATTCACTATTTGATATCAGAGTAAATCGGCAAAGATAGGTGTCTTGAACGCTGTGCAATAAAAATGTTTTTTTTCTCTACGTCACTCTCTTCTGTGAATATTCTGATAATCATTCATAGTTTTGTTTTTCTAACATAATGTCTTTTTATCATTTGGGTTCATCATCTTCATTTCTAGCTTTATTGTCATGGTTTCTATGGTGATGTGATCATTAAGATACCACACCCACACTCCACAACGATTATAAATCACCTCAGGAACAATTATTAAATTGTCATATTACGCGGTAGTTCAAACTTAACGATTTCTATTTTATAAATCAAAATTAATAAGGTAAATGGTGTTTATGTTTGTCAATTCTCAAAAGGAAATGGAATAGATGTCTTGAAAACATCATAAGTTTTCGGGCCTCAAATATATCCCATGTGCCATAATATCATTTTGTGCCGATTTCTGAGAGTTGCTCTCAATATCCAATTTTCTCTTCTTCTGTCAATCAATCAACGATATCCTCATTCAGAGCTTTCTCGATTGCATTGTTAGTTTCACAGTCCTCTGCCCAGTGCTTCATTATGGGTATTTTTCTAATTTCCTTCACCAAAATACAATTGATAGCAAATCTAAACAGATACATATGTTTGCAATGATTACTTCCGCCAAGCTCAGGCTTATCAATGGAATCATTTTAGTCCTATCATCCCTTCTACAGGTCTGAACAATCGCCGTTGTCCTAACAAACAGACATATTGAATATGAACATAATATTTACATTTAACTCATCAGTATGATTAATGCTGTTCATTAAGGCTGATCGATCAATCATCCTATAATGACCATTTCATGGAAATAAAATATTAACACCGTAATACAAAAACTCATTCTTGGAAATATTTCCTTTCTATGACATTGTCATGTTGACCCTTAACGCTTTGATTGCAATTCTTTCAAAGGCTACGATTCAACGGGGATGCATTTACCATTTTATAATGCTTTTACCAACAAACAAAATGAAGAGCAATGTCTAAGCGTATTAGAAAAAATGACTCACTAGCACGTAATAATCAAAATTAAATCATTCAAATCGTCAATCTTATAATTAGATTATTTTCCAGTAGACTTTATGAAATTTCCCCACGTGGACGTTAAGGTCAATTCATAAATTCTTATTAAGAAGTAGGTGACTAAGAGCGATTAAGATTTATGAGGGACAAATACGTGTAATACACGTGTATGCACACACAAATCTTATTCTTTTAAAGGCGGAGCAAACATTTGTGGAACAATCAGATTTGAAAATAAAAGTTGAACGTGGGATATTTGTATTTTACCTATTTCTCATCTTTTTATGTTTAAATGTGACAGTAAGGCTTAGATAGCTTTGACAAATGCAAACACGTTAATCCGCTCATAGATAAATTAATATTCAGTACTCGAAGGCAGTATTTGACTTGATGGAGTAGTTGACTTCTACATTGAGGTTTATTTTGAGATTTCCTAAGGCTACTCCGATGAACCTCCCATTTCCAATTTATCGAAATCAAAGATTTATTTTATGTTCTGTTAATTGATAAAATCATTGTACTCAGTATGAAGCTTTACTCTAAATTAATAGGGATCTCACTATGATGGATCTTCCTATCATCACTATCTCCTGAACGTATTTCTCATTTGAGAACACTCGGCGTGATACTACAAATAGAATGTTTCTCAGGCCTCTGACTTGTTTATCACCAAATTTTATTACGACTGAGCATATTTCCAAATGAAGAACGAGCTGTGAAAGTGAGGAAGAGTGTTATGATTTATTTACTATTCCCAATGGCACAGTGGACGAAATTAAATTCCAAACTAGTGAACATTGTACCACTGTGGGATCGTAGAATCATATATCTACTTACGGACAGCCATACATCTAGATAGAAATAACGATATATCTTGCAAAAAACTCATTGGTTCTCTACAAGATAAAGATCTCGTCCAGGATATAAAGCAGAACATTCACACTGATGTATTGGAAAGCTTAATTTAAAAAGTATCATCCCATTTGTCTTGATTTCAAGTCTTGTCGATTTTCACCAGGACATATTCAAAGTTAGTATCCCTTAGTCTTCTTGGGTCGCTTTGAACTGTATTGTTTAGCCTTTATTTCAAAATGGCGATCCTTGAGAGTCAACACTCTTGAGTGACATTATTGGATTATTTTTCTTTAGTCACTTTTCTTGAGTTCACAATCTTGAAACTTGGTCTAAAAAGCACTAAAACTTGAATACTGAGCCTGTAAATCTAGAACCAGATTTCCTTATTAGTCTTGATTTATCAACCGCGTTCTCTGAGTTACTTTTCATGTGATTGTTTAAACAAGGACTTATTCTAGTGGCAACAATTTATTTTGAGACAAGAATCCCTCATAAAACGTGATATTAAGAGGGGGAAATTACAAGGCAAATGCATAAACTAGTCTATATTGAACGGTAGTAATACCGCGCTCATTCAATCTATAGTGTCTGCAAAGATTGAGAGATGTTGTTACGTCGCTGAGTAAAACTTATCAGAATCATAAAAAGCTTGCTGCTCGAGGAGAGGATGATTTTATTGATGTTCACAGTAGGATTAGCAAACAACCTGTGAATGGATCTGGCACTTCATTTGCTTTTCCGGCATTTATTTTCAGATACAATAATGGAGGATTGATCCTTGTATTGTTTACAAAGCAGAAAGTACTATATGATTGTTGGATTGTACAAATTAGTGTTAAATTGTGTTTAACGATTCAAGTTGTCAGTATTGTCGTAGAAACTATTATCGTTGCACAACTACACATTATATTTTAGTACGATATGGTAAGTCAACATTACGTGGAATATAAAGTTGCGGTATACTGAGTTTCAAACACGAACGTAATGTACATTCACTAAATAATATAAAACTCAAGTGATTACAAAAAACAATTGCGCTTTGAACACACCTGGAGTAGTAGAAATAAGCGGAGTACTGCCCAATTTCATCCAGTTGAAAGTTGACGAGGTGAAAGTTTGTTTCGAATCAAGTAAGTGTCAATTGTTATTTGAACGAATACATAAAACTCCAAATTAGAAACTGATACGAGAATTCTGCGCTGTAAAGCATGGCATGATCGGAAGTAACGGAGACTTTATAAATCGTAAACGTCATTTCAGAATGTTTCTGCATCTTTGCAAATTAGACAAATCTGATAAACAGCTTCGTAAATTCGATAAGACAAGGTAGGAGGATATCAAGGACTGAAATATGATAAAAATCAACAACTTATATCAACTTATATTTCCGTTAGTGTGCTTCTTGGAGAATTCCTTATTATTCCTTTTAATACTTTGTACATGTACATCAAATTAAGGTTAAGGTGCTTTTAAGGTAGTTGGAATGAAACAAATGATCTCTTCCAAATTAATATGCATTTCCTCTGTCAAATCGAATTACAATTGCAATTGTTCATCCACGATTTCAGTTGTTGTTACGTTTTTAGCAAGAACGTTGCTCTTTTCTTCTTGATCTCTTATACATCATACGATTTTTAAAAAAAATTAACTTTTTTATAGTTTTTTTTATAAAATGTAAAATGACTTTTTGTGAAGTTATATTCCAGATTAATGAAAAACGGTGTAAAGTAGAAAATGTATTAACCAAATTAATCTACTTAAAAGCTGACGAAAACCTTCAACAAGTGCGACAAATTACAATATAATCTCATTATATGCCTAAAACAAAATATTATGACATTAATGAATTACAGGAAGTAGAACCTTGGGAATATATATCAACATACCCTACTTAGATAAAATGTCAATGTTGTTTTTACAGTATCAGCAGGTTAATCACATGTCTACTAATTCATGTTTATAGTTCATATTGTTTATCGTCGTTCGTATTTATTTATTATCACTACTAAAATAATAACTTAATAACATGCATTCTGTTTTTTTTCATCGTGGAAAATAAGATTGATAACAAGGCATGTTTGCCATGGATGTGATTTGAAAGATACAGACCGAACTATCAATGTTTGGCTACTTGATCATTTTATAACTCGATCATTTAATCCCTTGGTCACGAGAACAATCTTCTCTTACATCTCTTCTTCAAACTCCTAGCGTGAATGCCGATATGAATAACGCATTTGGGAAATTCCTTGTCTTTAAGCATCATGCATGGTTCTGGTCCTATAATAGAACAGGAATCGAAAATGGGCAATATCGAGCCTTTTTGAGTAATATTGGTTCAACACAGGAGTCAGTTTTGGCAATGAATCTAACTCTTTTGAAATCGCAATGTGTGATATGACTTTGACTATAGATCAAATGAATTGATTGGTATTTCTTATCTGATAACCACTGGTGTCCGTGATATTACAGTACAACATTCAAGTAAAGACAAATTATATGGAACAAAAACACGGTGTGAAAAAGTAGAAATGAATTTATATAAATGGCAGATATATTGTCACACGGCTGTGTATTATCGAGGGTAGTATATTTGACTCATGTTTTGTGCTATAGCTATTTATCTTAGTTTTGTGACCTGGCGTCATATTTCATAACGAGTAATGCAAGCTGTTAATTAATCATGATTTAGATTCGATTCAGGCTCTTTATCATCCAGTTGTATTGCAAGAGATAAATAAATATAAACATAAATAAGTGGAATGATTAATCGATTTTCAACACTGGTATAAAGCAATTCAGTATGATTTAAAGATGTACGCACAAGTGCCAAAATGACAATTGTTACAGAACCAAGCAAGAAAAAGAAACATCTAAGTGTATACTAGTCATAAGGAAAACAAACAATAAATCAGATGTTTGGGATAGGGGTGATATCAAGGATGATATTGGGATTAGATTGATGATATCAGGGATGATATGGATATCAACACGGGTACAATATTAAATTTTTACAGTTTTTCATTTTTTTCAAAGTTTTTCATTTTTCAAAAGTTTTCATTTTCTAGACTTTTTCGCTCGGTCAACAAAGGATTTTAGGTAGATATCGCTCTTGACCATGGTAGGATGATATCAATATTTCCCTCTGCCACTGCGTTCCCTCGGGGAATATTGATATCAACCTTGTGATATTCCCCATATCAAATCCCTCCTGGTGAATAATTTCTTTATATATATCTACCGTATACCAGGTTTGATGCTTATGGATACCATTCACAGGCGGCTGTGTATTGGATAATAACGGAAGTCATTCACATCACTCAACCTTAATAAAGTTCTATTCTGCTAATAACATTAATGCAGAAAATAAAACGATTCAATAAAATCACAATATTTGCTCGGCACAAATATTATTCCCTTATTTTTCAAATCGTTGTCATGGGATCCAGCATTGTTTGAAATACAAATGCTTATGTAAGCAGTTGCTTAATGAACTACATCAAAAAGGCGAACGAGTGTATAAGAGGAGATACATTACTAAATAATTGTGCATTTTTTCAGTATTGCACTCACAGGAATTTTCTAAATTGTCGACCTTACAAATTCCACTGAATTACATTTTCATTTCTAGTTTCTGGGTGAATAGCATAAAGGCCAATGGCCATTACAGACGCTATCGCTAAAAGAGTCTAAATGCAAAATAACCAATGTGACAACATTATCTCTTCAGCATAATAAGTATTCTTGCGTTATGTCATACACGGCATGTAATTACCAAAGCACGATGTTTGTAAGCTAGTCCTTCGGGAGAACAGTTACACGTTATGACTATACAATTAGACAAAACTAAAGTAGAAATAGATGTTCCGGTTGATACTTCCGTTTCAAAATTCTGTATTTATTCCTGGTTATATTCATTTGACATCTCGTGAGGATACAGTGGCGGATCCGGGGGGAGGATGGGGGGGGGGGGCACGGTTGGGCCCAGAAAAAAATTGGGCCCAAAAACTTTGGCCTTAAGGCCCCAAAAAGTGGGCCTTTTTGGTCATTACTGGGCCCTCTAAGACCTTATTTTTTAATTTCAGGCCAAATTTTGAAGAAAATGGGCCTCAAATTTTTTTTTTCTCTGACCGGAAATTTGCCCCTCCCCCTTTGTTGGTTCCTGGATCCGCCCCTGGGATACAATTAGATTTCGAAAACTGGTTTTCATGACGATTTACCCAATATCTCGCGTCGATCATTCGTCCCTGGACCACCTTGTAGACGCTTTCTGCAGAGTTCACTCGCCATTTGGAATAACTTCCACCGAGGAAGCTGTGAATGAATATGTAGGTAATTTTTTGCTAATTGAATTTGCTCATTCCATCAGTCCAGCAGGCGATGAGTAACTGATCATGCTAATAGTGAATCTTTAAATTAGTTAATGAAAAGGCATGAGTGGTTAAAATGGATTACGCTGGGAATAGAACTGAACTAATGTAACCAGTTCTCTCATATCAAGTATTCCAGAGACCAATTTCGCTAGTGCTTTTTTAGATTCGTTTCGATATTTCGAACTAATATAGAACTGAGATTCTTACAACGTACGTACGAATACTTTCGAATGATTTAATTTTTCATCTTTAAAAGAAAGCTTCGTTTACTAATATACTAAGCTCTGTCACTATGGGAACCTTTTATCTCCTTTGTAATCTCGTATTGCCTAAATTACTCATCACTCATCGCGCCCTGAAAAAGGATAAGATGGTTAGTGCAGTACTTCGGTCGATGGGGATAAATCAGTTGTCATATCCCTCACAGGTATATTTGATAGCTTATGCTGTATCTCTCACTGATGTTTTTGTTCCTCGATCTAAACTTACAATTGAGTAGAAGATTATATAATTTATCGATTTGGATAAAACTGTCCATCAAATACTTATTTTCGTGAAAGAAAAAGCGGTTGTTTAATAGGATTCATAATTCTATTTTAATGTTGCATGTTGTCAGTTATGCTCGGAGAGGTTATCGTGTTCTTAGTTAGTCTCGCTTTCCTTTGTGGTATTAAGAAGACGATACGGATCGCTTGGGAAATAAAATTAAATAAAAGTTACTCGTTACATCCCTGAACGCAATGTTATTCTCCGATTGAATCTGAGAATGATGTAATTTGTAGATTTGATTGAATATTAGGCGACAGTTCTTGCGTGAAGCCTGTCATTGCCAAACATTAGCAGCTGTCATTTTTCATTGAGAACAAACAAATTAATACAAAACCTCTCTAACGATGAATCTCCTTTTAAATCAAATGATTAAAGCTGTGCTTTATTAACCCTGATATCGTCGGCGCAAGATGTTTTTCCTTGGACTAAAATATCAGCAGTGTTTCGGATTGAATTAGTTTATCCAACAGGCCCGTAGCCAGGATTTGCCAAGGGGGGGTTCAATTTTCAAAAATTTCCAGGGGGGGTTCACATTTGACAATTTTGGCCTAAATATGGCTAAAATCACTTGAAAAGTGCTCAAAATGGTGAAAAACTGCATGATTTTAAAAGAATTTTTGGCCAGGGGGGGGGGGTTCGCCCGAACCCTGCGAACCCCCCCTGGCTACGGGCCTGTCCAATGCATCCTTAGGCCACCTACGCCAGTCAAAAACTTCACCCACACGCTTATCTGTTTGTACTCGTGAACGTCCACTCAATAAAATATCATGTATGGGCGGAATTTCATTTTCTTGATATACTTTGATTGCTTTTATCAAAATGATCCAAGAAACTACGATTGGAGAAGACGAATCAAATCAGATGTCGAACTTTCAACTACTTCCGTTTAGATACAAACACTTGTTAAACCTCTGTTATAAATGTATCGGTTATGGCATTTTGATGGTATGTTTAACATTTCAGGAACTATGTCAATTGATTCTACACATATTTATTCGTAATGTAAACTTGGTTGTACATCTATTTTTGGGTCGTAAGTTATTGATCTTAATTTTCTTGTCGAGTGCAGAGTTACTCAAACCATCTTCAAAAGTACATCACTCGTGATGAAGTAGCTTCTCTCTGGACGCTAAGGTATTAATCCAACGCTCTATTGGATATAAGAACTCTGATGCTAGTTTACTTATGGTAATAATAACAAATCCGATTACAACGATTCATATTGACCCTCAAAGTATGAAAATACAAAACACATACTGTTCTTTCAGCTAGCCTTAAAAGTTAGATTACATATCAGACGGAAATAGGGTTGATTTCAAACCGAAGGCGCTATTATTACCACAATGTAAATTTGCATATGTGCTCCGGTGAGAAAGTTAATGTCTTGTAGTAGACTGTAATATCATAGGCATGGATAGCATTATAATAATAAATCTTAACAATGGTCTAATAAAACATGCAGTGCTTCCTTTTACTCATCATAAACCCCTTCAATCTTATTTGTCATGGTTATGTCAGTCTCCGCTTTATCTTCAATAAGCGTCGGGAATAAAACATCATTTACTGATATAAGAGCGTCATTTCAATATTCGCAACTTTCGATATGGAGGAGATTTACGTGGGTGATTCAAGATTTGAGTGAGAGTTCGAGGACAAACATTGGTTTGCGAGGGGAGTTGGTAACGAATTAATGAAGCAATAGCACATATAGCATGTATAATCGGGAAACATCATGCATTTATTGTTTACAATCGGACATGTTTACACTTTATCATCTAAATGGTTTTGCTATATTGATTTCTGTCTTTTTGTATATTTCAAGCTCTTAAAGCCGCGCGCTTAAATCCACCCATTTAAACGAGTCTTATTTTCACACTGTTGAGAAATCATCAAAATTTCGTTTCATGATTATAACGACAAATATGCAAGACTTATCTCAGTAGAAAACTTTTGGTGGAATGATTAATTTATGAGGTTGACTGGCAGTTGAATACAATACAACACAAGATGAATTGTTATTTCGATTTCTAATGAGCTTGGACTTTATTTGCGTCTGTTACCTATTGAAAGAACGCCAGCCATGCGACGTCATCTCGGATGTACTTTATTAATTGTGATCAATCATAATCAAGTCAACGTAACTCTTATGCAAACGTCGAAATGCTAATGGAATCCTTCTAAATGCTTAAAGAAAATGCATCGATAAGTACCAGCGTGATATGTCTGCAAACATGACAGATGTAACAATACTTAGAGTCATTGTTAACTACTAGATATAATTCGATACAAGTAAGAGTAAGTAAGAGTCATTATCATTGTTGATGTTAAGTGATATTCCGTATCTTCAATGGGAACTTAATGTACATTAAGAAGGGCACGCTAGACTCGGTTTTATTCAAGCAATAAGTGCTCCTGGGACCAGCACGTTTTACCAATACGCAGATCTAGACTTGCTTTACATAGTAACAAGTTTAACATTTCGAGAATCTGGCAATCGACAGTTAGACTATACTAGAATTAGAAAGTGAAAAGCAGACACTAGAGAGTTGCAATCATAAAGTAATTGGGATAAAAACAGAAGGCTAATAAACAACAAAAAATCAAATTGGTAAGTTAATATGAAAGTAACTTTTTAGTGAAAAAAAAACATTTTTATCAAGTAAACATAGCCCATGTCTTCCTTCACTCAAAACTCATTAATTAATTAAATCTCGGATTTAAATCCACCACCTAATTAATTAATGAGTTTTTAGCAAATGAAGACATGCACTCCGTTTACTTTGATAAGGATGTTTTCAGAATTTTTGTTTTGAATATATAAACTGTATCCGCTTATTTTGATTTAATTTCGAGCATGACTTATACAATAACTCCGTTACGAATGGCTGGGAGGATTTGCATCATAAATCCATTTGAGAAAATATGTTCAATTAATTTATTTGTAGAAAGAAACAGCATAGTTGTGATTTACGTTATAAAGGGAGATCCGTACTTATGGTTAGAATTTCCAATAATAAATGAAATGGGTATTATTTTCCAACATACATGGATATTTCAAAATCAAAAAGATTTGTTCTATTATGTTAAAATAACACATACTCGGATAATATTTTTTATTAACTTTTACATTGAAAATACGGAATATATCACTAGCTAATGCCTCGGTCATATTTGATCTACGGCAACCTTGTTACGCGGCAAACACGATACAAAAATATGCCATATTCCGCAACGAATATGGCATATTCACTTGCGGTGTATGACAGATTCACCTGCGGTATATGGCATACACACTATCCAATGAGAACGTGGTACGGAAGTACGCAATTGTCAAGTAAAACTTTATGAATTATTATAATGATTACTGAATCAACAGTACAGTTTATTGAATATATCAACGTATGCAGAAGTATCACTCACCAATCTCACGTAATAAACTTACCCAATCAATCCAGGATTCATATCTTAGTACTCGACGCACTAACAATATTGGTAATCCAGCGTAGTTTTACATTTAGAATCGATTCTCGCAACCAATCAAACCAAGTCTTTCTGTATCACGTTTTACCTGCGGAAAATGTCATATTCATCTGTTGTATATGGCATATTCCGCAAGTGAGTATGACATATTCTGCAGGTGAGTATCGGGTATTCACTGAAATCAATGTATCGCATATTCACTGCAGAAGATCGCATACTCACCTGCGGAATATGCCATATACCGCAGGTGAGTTTGGCATATTCACCCGTATCACAAATACCGCGCAACCATGAATGTATGCCATATTCCGCGTAACAAACCTTACGGCGGCCGAAGGTTCCCAAAATCGAGAGAAACATGCAGCATCAAATACAGGGATAAGCAGTACTATGTAGATTTTCTGTCGTACGGCAACCGTAGAGCAAATGCGACTAAGGCTTTAGCAAACACTATAAGACACCTCGTTTTTAAAACTTGGAAATTGAAGGTTTACTCAGCTTTAATGAATGCGTTTCCACTATTGCTTGAAACATTAGATATATTAGTTGAATGTGAAACATTCGAACTCCAAAAACAATTACCCTGCGCACAGAGTCTATAGTTATTAACTAGATGAAGCACTCTTTTAAGAAGCGAATTCGAACTAATGCGCATGCAAAGTTAAGGGAAAAGACGATTAGACCATACGATGGAAATGCATTTTTGTTCATATAATTATTTCATGAACTAATCATTACTCCCAAATACTTGAATTTTACCATTTTCTAATGAGAAAATATACACGTATTGTATAACAAATAGGTTGCTCCTAACTTTTTCAAAATTGTATATTTTCCAACTCTGTAAAAACTGCAAAACAGACTCTTGACAAACTGCAGGATTCAGTAACTAATTAAGATAAAAGCATTTGGTAACATATTAAACTAATTGACGATGTTAATATCAAATTAGTAAGCTGATACAAAAGTAACTTCCAAGAAGTTGGTGAATTCATTATATCCGTCATCACTTATTAATTACAATTGGTGTATTGTTCTTATTCTGTTTTATTTCAGACACGGCTGGTACAATAACAACTCCGTTACAAATGGATATACAGTACTGATAGATCTAGAGAATTTGCATCATAAACTAGTTGATAGAAATCAACGCATTTAATTTACTTGTCAAGAAACGCAATTGTATTTTATGTTGTTATCGTAACCTTGTTTGCATGTTCAGGTTCAGAAAATAAAAAGTCAGAATGGATCAAATGTTTACTCAGCTAAATAATCTGTTCTAAGGTAGTATGATGGTTATCTAGGCCCCGTCAAAATGTATGCACAATTACATGATATCATGGCTTCGGCTAAGGTCCAGTAGTCGCTGCATTGTGAAATCCTGCTAGGTATATACGAATAGCTTCTTCGTATCCGTACAAATAATCTGTAGGGATACGGAGAAGCCCCTCACTGTGTTATGATATCACGTTACGACGGGGAGTAAATAGGGAGTTTAAGCTTGCAATATTTTTCACAACCTAAACGTGAACGGAAAATATTTAAGCAATGCATTTGTATTGGCGATTGGTCATACGTATAGGTTGGCGTTTCGATTTTATATGCAAGTTTAAACTCCCTATTGACTGATACTATATCGTGCAAATTCACTCCCGTTAAGTAACATTTGTATCGAGCTCCCAAATATGTAAATGACACACTAACGTTTAAAGTAATGTTCTCACGTACATAAATAATGATAAAATGAACAATTGATCCTGAATACTTATTAAACCGTATAACCTTGTTTTTCGGTTCCCAACAATAATTAGGCCTCTAATTATACGTATTAAGAGTTCAACTTTGATGGACCGTTTATTGGTGACTCGCGGCAAAAATTGCAAATTTATGAACCCAAAAATTGATAGCGTTTTAACAACTGACAGAGAATGTTATCCCTCATATCATATGGAAACTCGAAACTCTATATTTCGATAAAGATTAAGTTTGTGATTCGTAACTCTGTATCTCTCTTCTACTTCCAGGTATGACTGATTCAAGCAGGTCTTGACAGAATGGAAGATGTTCTACACAATATTGCAGAGAATTCATCACATAGTCCAACATTGGATGATATTGGATATCAACCCTACGTCCTCAGTCAAAATGACATAAATAGCAATTCGATTATGAATGTTGGTGCTAATCATACTCTGGATGTAAGCAATACGACGTTCAATGATACTAATCGAACCATTTACACAATCCCAACTGTGGATCTACAACATGCATTGTGCAGTGGATTGCCCCTGGGTATCTTAATACTCATGACCGTAGGGGGAAATGTTTTAGTATTACTTGCAGTGTTCGTAAATTCACACCTTCGGAGTACAACTAATTATTTTATAGTCAACCTAGCAATTGCAGACTTGTTGCTTGGATTAACCGTATTGCCGTTCTCCGCTAGTTTAGAAGTTATTAAAGCGTGGGTATTTGGTAGGATATTTTGTGATATTTGGGCAGCTATTGACGTAATGTGCTGCACGGCGTCCATTATGACCTTATGTGTCATCAGTATTGACCGTTACATCGGCGTCACGAGGCCGCTCCAACACTCCACTATTATAACGGAGAAACGTGCCCTTATGATCGTAGTCCTGGTGTGGATTCTGGCGGCAGTTATATCAATTGCACCATTAGCTGGTTGGAAGGAACCCCCGCCAGAAAACCCTTACGACTGTGGGGTTACCAAACAGATTGGTTACGTTATATTTTCCGTATCAGGCTCATTCTATATCCCTTTATTTATAATTATATCAGTGTACTTAAAAATCTACAGAGAAGCTTTAATCCAATCAAAATTCCTTAAAACAGGAGTGAAAACTCAGAGAAATGAAGAGTTCAACAGTGAGATTACATTACGGATTCACTCTGGTGGGTATCAAGTAGCGAACACTGCCAAGAGGAATAACAACAACAGACAGAATCATTCATTTCAGAGCAGTAGCTCCAGTTCAGAGGGATCCAATAGAAAACATTATTCCAGAAATACTGTAGCCGGCAAGGAGGCCAAGTTTAAAAGAGAGAAGAAAGCAGCCAAGACATTGGGCATTGTCGTTGGTGTTTTCATCATGTGCTGGTTCCCATTTTTCTTTGTATTGCCGCTGAGTAAGTATCTTCACTGATTAACCTTTCTCTATAGCAACGATCATCACTCCCGTACACCCGAAAATTAGTTGGAAGCTCGAGCTCCAAAATATCTATATTACATACTAACACTGTTTGCAGCTTAGGGTTACAGCTAAGAACACTGCATATGGTAAAACCTATATAGTCCGAACGCTACTGGGTCTGCCAAAAGTGTTCAGATTGGCAGGTGTTCAAATTTTGACCTTTTAACATTAAAGTATATGGCAGATTTTAAAAATGGGACCAAAGTTCAAATTGAGAGGCATTCTGGTTATAACGGTGTTTGGAATGATATAGGTTTTACTGTGCTCACCCCCCTCTTAATTGAATTAGAGTTTTACTACCTTAGTGGTAGTAATAATGATTTCCCCTATTCCCTGCTTTCATCTCCGTAGCACAGTGAGTACATAATAATCCTTGCTAATTAGATATTTCTACTCGATTTTGCATTTCAAAATATGCCTTTGTCATTGAAACTATTTTCCTTGTGGAACCCCCATTTATAATTCTACCACGTAAGACAACCGCCATCACGGTCAAGCTTTCCTAATGTTCGCTCTGTTGTTTGGGCTAAATAACGAGACAATTTGTATATCAGAATACTAATTACTATTGAACAACGCACAATCATCATTTGTAAGCTAAGACATACCACAATTTCTTCATCTTATCTTTTATCTCCTATACGAAGCAAAAACGTAAACAGATTTTCTAACTAGACACAAGTGTCAGGGGTGTTACGAAGATCTGTGACCAAGAGTAGGAAGTTAATCCAGAACTCAAAGATGAGCCTATCTTCATGTAAAGATTAACCCAGAGGTCCATCTATGAATTCTGGGTAATTCCCCCTCTTTTGACCTATAGTATCTATGCCCTTTGAAGATCATTGGAGCCTGACAACGTTAAGATGAAGGACAATAGAGCGTTGTTATACACATAGGTTGATTCAATAAACCGACGGGGATCTTATGTTGAGAAAACACTAAAAGATAAGTTGTTCATTGACGCCGGTAGATGTTACGAGAGTTTAATGCTTACGATGATGACTGTCTCAAATTCAGAGCAAACAAAAAATATCATACTGAACAATCATCTTTGATTGACGGAATATTCATGAATTGAATTGCTACTTAAGCAAATACAAGTGAATGTTGAAGATGTTCAAAGTATACAGTCGGCATCGATATATTTGAACTTCACATTTCAACAAAATCCAACCGTCAAACGTTTCCACAAACACTCAGTGTCTTATATGAAATTCGATTCCTACCATTTGAAAACGTTGTATCTTCCAATTTGGACTAACTATTCTGGATTTCATATTTTTAATTATTGATATACCATCTGAAAGCTTAGGCTCTTGGACTTTTTTGTTGATGCCAAAGTAAAGAACAAATATACACTGTACTAGACTAATTTCCATTATCAAAAATGAGCTGACTCGCTTAATACAGTATTAGTGAAGAATTGTATGGGTTCCACATCCTCAACTATCTCTGGAGTTGAACTATTCAGACTATCTCTTCCTCTCTTGAAAAAGAGGAACTCATATCAGAATGTATATGAAATATTTCTTTCAATGTCTGATTCAATTACTGTACCACCAAACGGAAAATGAGTAATTCTCAATGGATTAATTATTGCATATCAGAATTTACAATGTTGAAGTCTAGACCCTACATATCCTTCATTGTCAAAAGTTGGATCTAAATGGATTATATTTACGACATCACTTGCTCGTTGTCGCAGTATTTGACAGTTTTATACGACTCATTATTACAGTTTGGTCTTTATATTTGATAGCTGTTTGATTACAAATCTTCCATTTTATGGATTATTTATACCGATGAGCTCGGAGATCAATGCAAATTGCCATCAAATTTGACCAGTTCATTAATAGGAATTTTATTGCGTGCTTTATTACTTGTAAAAGTCCTTGGATCTCTGTTCGGGTTTCACCTACGGATGAGTGGATTACCGAACGCCTTAATTAACGAAGTGAGTCAACTGTCAGATTGTTATCGGTCCATCATTGCCTATAGGCTTCATTTGACGGAAAGGCAGACGCAATTTAGTAGTTTATTACGACTACTAGCTATCTTCCTCATCTTTTAATTTGTTTTGACTCAAGTGACCGGGCAATCAAACTGTTGACTCAGCGAGAAAAATGCAACCGGTGTTTGTTTTTATATTGCGGCTCTAGATAAGAACACCATTTACACCCTATACAGACTGTGCTATACGAATACGAGCGGTGCGAATATCATGAGCGCAAGGTGCGGATATTAACGGTCATTTTTGAATTTGTGATATTTCATACACTAAGGCTTGTTGGATACACAATCATAGTCACCCATTTGTAGAGGATACCTAGTAAAAGGGAAATTTGTCTATAGTATTCATCCTTTCTCCATAGTCAAATAAATGAAATTGCTGCTTTACTACACAGTTTACAGCCTTCATGCAGTATTGTACACATGTATGAATATAATTGAATACCCAACAAGCCTTAATTTGTAAAATCTCACGAATTCAATTTCAAAAATGACCGCCAATATCCGCACCCTGCGCACATAATATCCACAGCGCTTGTTTGGGTATAGCACAGTCTGCATAGAGTGATTTAGTGTTTTACCAGTCTTGCATAAGTTCCAGTCTTCACCAGCCCATAGTCAAAATCTCACTCAAACATTTATAGTGTAGTCGTGGCTGAAGAGATGAAAGTAAAGATACATATAAAAAGGGACTAGAAGGGATAGAGACGTTTTGAAAGTAAAGCCTCGATCACATATTGCTCTACGGCGGGCGTACGTAGGCCGTAGCTTTTCAAAATCGAGATACAAAACCCACATCGTAGTGTTTCATCCACTTTTTATGCTGCCCATTTCTCAAGCAATTTTTGGAAGCTACGGCCGCCGTACGGTTGCCGTAGATCAAATGTGACTGAGGCATAAGTTTCGAAGAAATTGGCATAAATGTATTTTTTATAGAATTAGAATTGTAAGGAAACATTGGAATGGTTCCTTAAAAATTACTTTCAACATTTCACGCTATGAATGTCCATGTAAAATTCCACGAACATGACCTGTTTGTCTAAAAACCTGCTTAAATACTTTAAGCTTAATCTAATGTTGATTACTCTGTCCCGAATAACATGGATCAAGTATTCAAGCAAGAATATTTTCCTTGATCCCCCTTACTGACCAGCAGATTGAAATCATTGTCCTGACATGAATTGTGAATGAATGTTTTGTTCACAGGAATCATTAAACGATGATTTAATCATTTAGTCGTTTCTTAAATGTTTAGGAGTACGTTGGGGCTTACATACTTGGGTGCATCGAAATGTTTAGGAGTACGTTGGGGTTTACATACTTGGGTGCATCGAAATGTTTAGGAGTACGTTGGGGTTTACATACTTGGGTGAATCGAAATGTTTAGGAGTACGTTGGGACTTACATACTTGGGTGCATCGAAATGTTTTGCAATTTTGGCTCAAGTTCCACATTGAGATCTGATTTGAAATTTTGCACAATTATAGATCATGTATCCATACAATTGTGCATCGATTTGGTTGCTCATCTTATATCTTTTTTTTTGTATTTAAAGATGATTGTTTAGTTCAATTTTAAAATATGTCCCTTTGTAATTTCTTACGATTTCACGATTTCACCATTGTCTATGTTGGCGCACGAACTTTGTGATTCAAAACTCGCATCATCTTATGCGAAATACGCATCATCATATGCGGAACACGCATTATTATATGTGATTTTCAATCTATCTTATACCAACAGTTAATTTTCTTACATAACTTATTTTCAGTTTTTATTCAGTTATTCAGGAGTCCAATTCAACCAATCGTATACCTTCCGTGAATGATGTTTTTATGTCACCTCTAGAAGTGGTGACATATTGTTGTATAGTCTCCGACTATTTTGTGGTCAGTGTTCGGCGGTTGGTGTTCGGCGTTCGGTGTCTGTAACAAGTGGAATGAGGTGACCTTTTACATGTTAGTGCCTTACATTTTGTGAAGTGACACCCATTTGAGAACCAACTTACCCAATATGTTCATGAATTAATGCTTTGTTTTTTCCTCAAAATATACCTCCTTGCGTGACTAACATAACTTAGTGTTTGACTTTTCGAGAATTTTACTCATGGCATCACTTCAAACTGAATTATATACCATAAATATGCATTATGAATGTGGGCTCGCCCAGTAACAATGGTGAATTAAGGTTGAAATAACGCAGTGTTTTTATACTCGTGCAACAATGAGACAACTGGGAAGCTTGTAGTATTCAATGTTGATTTCCCAAATGGAATCTTTTTCAGAAATATTTGATGCTCAGACTGAATGGATGTATTTGAATGGACTTACAAGTACAATATGTACATCGAATTAATCCGTTATTTTAGTCTCAATGATTGTTCTGGCATGGCGATGGAAACAGAAGGAGGTTCTGTGCTCGCTAAAAGTGTACATGTCTTTTAAACAGGGATGCCAGTACAGGGTGGACTAAAAATCTTTTCATTTTTTCCAACAATAATCAACAAGTAATAATATCCATTTGACCCGATCGCGATAACATGTTTTATAAGTTTGATGCGGTTCATTTCTTTGTATAGTATTTTGGTGGAATACAAGGCATTAACATGCCAAATAGCACCATCTTAGAATTTGTTACAAACGCCGAGCGCCGAACACCGCCCACAAAATAGGTAAATACTATAACAATAATTTACCACTTCTTATAATGCCATAAACAATTCCGTAGTGATGGTACCTGTACACATGTGTCTTAATGCGTAATGTGTAATGCGTAAAATACATGTATTTCATATCAAAAGTGACATCAATATTATTCTATGCATATACGGGCGATATCGACTGTTTTTAAGTTCAAGTAACTACAAAACAACACGATTCAAGGAATAAATCCTACATTTTATGAATTGGCATAATTCAACTCTTT